CCACGACTGTCAGAGAGAAAGCCCACATCATACAGAACCTGACTGCACTCTTCTTTCTTCCTATGGATCCCCCTGAGCAAACCAGTGGGCAAGAGAGCCCTTTGATGCAACTCACACAGGCACCACTTTGTATCCTGTCTCTCTCCTCTAACTCCTTTTACCCCCCTGTCATGGATTAAATTGTGTCCCCCAAAAAATGTGTGTAGCAACTTGACTGGGTCATGATTCCCAGTGTTGTATGATTGTATAACATGATGTGATTTCCTTATGTGTTATAAACTCTATCACTATGATAAGATTATATGGGATCTTATGTGTTGTAAATTCTATCACTGTGGTGAGGTTATACAGATGAGGTTGACAAGCTTAGTGTCTTAATGCAATCTCTTTTGAGATATAAAAGAAGAGAAGCGAGCAGAGACACATAGGAACCTCATACCACCAAGAAAGCAGTGCCGGGAGCAGAGCATGTCCTTTGGACCTGAGGTTCCTGCACAGAGAAGCTCCCAGACCAAAGGAAGACTGATGACATGGACTTTCCTCCAGAGCCAACAGAGAAAGCGTTCCCCTGGAGCTGATGCCCTGAATTTGGACTTGTAGCCTATTGGATTGTAAGAGAATAAACTTGTCCTTGTTAAAACCATCCACTTGTGGTATTTGTGTTAGAGCAGCACTAGATGACTAAGATACCCCCTGAATCAAAATCCCCCTTCACTAAGAGAATAACAAAAGAGGGGAATACTTCTGACAGACTCATCCTCACAGCTCAGGTCCCCCCTCCCCGAAGAGGCCTTCTCTGACCGCCTACAGGTCTGTTTTATGTGCTCAGTGCCTAGCACAATGCCCAGCACCGAGGAGCACAAAACAAACATTTGGTGACTCTGTCACATGTGGTTCCATGTCTTGGCAGGCTTCTTTCCTTCTGTGCTGAGATTTGGCCTTGGAACCCTCCCCAACAGAGCACCCCAGGCAGTCACTGCCATCAAGTAGAAATGGCAGAGAAATAAAACCAATTTCCCTTCTCTGGGAGAGCAACTGTTGATTTGATTAAAGTAATTCACCCTAAGGATTAAATGATGAAGTGATTTAAGGAAGAGTAGTGATGGCAGAAAAAACAGTAGCATTTGTATTTCAGAATAAATGCTTTTATCTTCCATTTAGTTGAAGGAAAAGATGGGAAATGTTTAGCATATTTGCTCTGCGATAAGCATAAAGTACACCATTCCTCTACTTAATCTTCATAATCCCAGAAAGTAAAATCCCATTTTACATGAACAATGGAAACTAAGAGGTTAACTACTTAAGTCAATTTAAAACCACGAGCAAATGATGCAACCAATATTTGACGCAAACCTATTTAGCCTCAAGAAAGTGCTGAAGATGGATAAAAACAAGTAGTCAAAAGAGAAAGTTGAAAAGGAGGCCTCTTCATCGGATGTTGTTACCAACACTGGCCTGCCCTGCCCTTCCTCGGAGATGCCTTGCTCTCCCTTTCTGGAGTGACTCCATTAGAGGCACTGAGCCATCTGTTTGTTTCTCCAACCATCTGGCATTACCCAGAGGACATGATCTTCCTGCCATTTTACCCACAAATGACCACGTGCCAGAGTCACTGTAGCTGAAACTGTAGCTTGACCATGAGACAGACACTTTAAATCTGTGAGAAGCCCCAGGGGTGGGAATCTTTGCCTAATATATACCCGTCTTGCAGAGATTCTAGGCATAAAGCCAACTCAAAGCCTTGAAAGGAAGGAGACCTATTAGTACAGAATAGGGGAGGCTCAAGACACCGTCTATTCTATGCTAGAACTTCACTGATTCCTTTTCAACCCCTAGGAAAGATGCACCCAGCTGGTTTGGGCCTGACAATGGGTTTGATAAACATTAATTTGGAGAACATACGTATGGCTGGCATTCTGTGGGTAATCCTCCAGCTATTCCCAACCCTCTTCTCCCCTGCTGCCTCTACCAGAGGGGCTGAAAACTCACACACTCACTGTCCTAACCTTCCTTTCATGGGTGGCCATGTGACCCAGCACTGGAGTGTGTAGGACTCTGGGAAGATTGCCTTTACTGATGAAAAGAAAGGGGAGATTTGCATGCTGCCCCTTTCCACTTCTTCCTGCTTTCTACAAAGGATTTTTGTTGGCTGATTTTTGGAAGTAGATGGCCAGGCCTTTCTTCCTAGTCTGTCTTCATCTGGAAGCTCAAACCTGTTTAGCATCATAGCAACACACAAGCCTCCATGGACAGACAGGTGGTGGCTGCACATGAGGTGCACTGGCCAGAAATCAAACCCGAGTCTCCTGCATATAAGGCAGGAATTCTACCACTGAACCACCATTGCTGTTACAGATACTAATATACTGAACACAAAGCATTGAAACATGGCAACCATATTACCAAGTGGGGACCTTGGCCTGGCCTAATCCAAGGTCTAGAAACTTAACAAATACGTTGAGGCTTTTCCTAGAGGTACTCAACTTAGGCAAAGCAGCAACCACAAGAACAATGTAGTCATCAAATATCATGTAAAGCACAAATACTGTAGAAACTGCAAACATGCCTGAATACACAGGTATATAGATTCCTGTACAAGTGAGGGTTCAAACAACATGGAGCAGTTGGGTTCTTCAACTGGCCCTGTCAGCAGCAAGGGGTAAGCAGAAACAAACTTGCTTCCGATAACTAAAAATCAATGTCAGCATGGGACTCGGGGATGTTGTTCTGGCTACTGAGCAAAGTCTGCGTTAAAAATACTGACTGGAAGAGGAGTGTGTCTTTTTGTGTTACCGAAGTAAAAAGACGTATGAGAGAAGTGAGCATGGCTTTTTGGTCCATTTAACAGCATTTATAGGTACTGGAGAATCAGAAACCATTTTTTGTATGCTAATTTACTTTAAATTTGTATGTTTTCTTTGTTCATTTCTCTAAGATTTTTAATTAAAAATGCTACCAAGCACAGCATTAAATGCTCATTTAATCCTTACAATAACCTAAATTTCCTTTATTTTCTAATTATAAATGTGTATATGCTTCTGACTAAACATTCAAATAAATGCTGTAACGAAAAAAGTTAACATTACCCATTGTATTAGTTTCCTGTTGCTGCTGTAACAAATATCATAAACTTAGTGGCTTAAAACAATTTATTATCTTACTGCTCTGGAGGTCAGAAGTCCAAAATGGGTCTCTCTGGGCTAAAATCAAGGTGTAGGTAGGGTTCTGTCCTTCTCAAGGCTCTAGGAGAGAATCTCTTTCCTTCACTTATCCAGTTTCTAGAGACTACCTGCATTCTTTGGCTCATGGACCCCTTCCTCCATCTTCAAAGCTAGCAGTATAGCATCTTCCCATCTCTCTCTTAACTTTGACGCTGACTCTCTTGCCTGCATCTCTCACTTATAAGGACCCTTGTGATTACATTGGACCCACGTGGATAATCTCCCCATCTCAGGTCAGCTCATTAGCAACCTAAATTCTATTTGCAACCTTAATGCCCTCCCTGCCATGTGACCTAACATATTCATAGGTTGCAGGGATTAACAAATGGACATTTTGGGGAGGCATTATTCTACCTACCACATCCATAATTGCACTAACCAGGAGTGATCATAGTTAACATTTTTGTGAACAGTTATTCCCAGACCACCATTTTCTATGAATACACACATAGAGATACATCTGTGTATGCCTATTTAGATACATAGATTTGTAAAACTTGAATATTATACCTATCTGAAGAGCAATAGACCAAAACCAGCACAAGAGGAGACCCAGGAGGGTGTCCAAGGCCAGGACATGGCTCAATCTAGAGGAAGAAGCCTCATTCTAGAACTAGCTCAGTTATCAATGTGCTGGGCCCCCTCCAAGGCAGTGTATCATACAGGTTCAGAATGTAGCTTCAGTGTCCTCATTTGCAAAACGGGAAATAATACCTACCTCAAAGAGTGGTTTATGAGGGTTAAATGAGTTACTGTAGGTAAAGCACTTAGACCAGTGCCTGGAACATCGTAAGCATTCAACAAATGATAACTATTGTTATTGCTATTATTACTCTGATTTCTATCTTGCCATCTACAAAGAAAAGAAGGGGAGAGCTAAACCACTGCTGCCACTCTAAAACCAGACAGAGGACAGGGAACTAACAGTTACACCCAATCTGAGCCTGAGGCTGTGCTGTCTTGGAGAGACAGAGACAAGTAAACAATATCCAGTCCTGCCTTCAAAGAGTTCACAGTCTGATGGGAAGACAGGCAAATGCACAGGAAAATCACTATGATTCAAGGCAAAATGTGATCAGTGATAGAGTAGATAGAGGGAAAGTTGTTAAAGTGTACAGAGATGTGTTTTGTAGCATAGTGGAAAGATTCATAAAGACTCCACCTTAAATCTAAACGCATCCTCTTGTGACCTTGGGCAGTTCACTTAGTCATCTCTGCCTCAGTTTCCTCATCTGTAAAAATGGAACCTGTTGCCTTCCAGCGGATTCCGACTCAGCGACCCTATAGCACAGAGTAGAACTGCCCCATAGGGCTTCCAAGGAGCGGCTGGTGGATTCGAACTGTCAGCTTTTTTGGCAAGCAGCCGAGCTCTTAACCATTGTGCCACCAAGGCTCCATAAAAATGGAAACTGGGGGGCGACGGGGGGATGGGGACCTACCTCACAAAGTCGTTGTGAAGATTAGGTAAGCTACTGTACATAAAGCCCCTCCTGTAGTATCTGCCACAGAGACAAGCTCAAAGGGTGATCATTATTGATTTCAGTGGTCCATGAGAAAAGTTCAAGGCAAGAACTAGAGAATTAGGAATGCAAAAGAGGAGAGGACAGCTAAAGAGGGACTCATCCTTCTAGGGCCACTTAATTTCAGTGGATACTCAGAGCAGCGGCGAAGTACCCAGTGCCAGCCGCCAGGGGGCGTCCGGGGCGGAGGCGATCCCGTTGCCCGTGGCAACCGGCCGCCGTAGCTCAGGCCGCCTTGGCGCCTCGCCAGAGGGGCAAGATGGCACTGATTCCCTGCACCGCTAAGCTGGGGGTCGGCGACAAGGTGCTGCGGACGGCCACTGAGCGGGCGATCGCCGAGAAGACGAGGCGGGTGGCTGGCGTCTCCACTGGCCCCTCCCTGGAGTTATGCACCTTCCCCTCTTCCCTGGGCTCCTCGGTTGCGTCCGCCGCGCTGGAGCAGCTCTTTGTAGTGGGTGAGAGGCTTGAGGGCGCAGAGAGGGACGTCCCCAAGGAGATGGCGCCGAGGCGGCCCTCAGCGGAGATCCTCTTTTGGGGGCCCAGAGCATCCTTGGCCTAGGCAGAGCCTCCTCCGCACCTTGGAGGCTGGGGGTGAGGGAGGGACCCAGGTGCTCAGCCTTTCCTACTCTAGTGCAGCTGGAATGACTCGGCTCAGCTCAAACTAGTAGCTGGTGACAGATCCCGGACTCCCAGGCCACTGCCCTTCCACTCTCTCTTGCCTGTTGCCCGCAACAGACCTGCTCACCTGCCTTTAGATTGTGCATTGGATTACCACTTGTCGCTTTCCGCCTTTTGTTTGCAAGTCAGTTTCCTCCAACATTTTGCCATTGTAAACTGGAGAGTTTAACAAATAGGAAAAGATGTGTATAAGAGGCTCCTGTTGTATTGTTGTTGTTGTCGTTAGGTGTCGTCGAGTCGGTTAGACTCATAGCGACCCTAAGTACAACAGAACGAAACACTGCCCAGTCCTGCGCCGTCCTCTCTATGGTCGTTGTGCGTAAGCCCATTGTTGCAGCCACTGTGTCAATCCATATCGTTGAGGGTCTTCCTCTTTTTCGCTGACCCTCTACTTTACCAAGGTCCTTCAGGGAATGATCCCTCCTGACAACATGTCCGAAGTATGTGAGATGTAGTCTCGCCATCCTTGCTTCCAAGGAGCATTCTGGTCGCACTTTCTCCAAGACAGATTTGTTTGTTCTTTTGGCAGTCCATGGTGTATTCAGTATTCTTCGACAACACCACAGTTCAAAGGCATGAAGTCTTCTTCGGTCTTCCTTATTCATCATCCAGCTTTCACATGCATATCAGGCGATTGAAAACACCAGGCGCACCTTAGTCTTCAAGGTGACATCTTTGTTTTTCAACACTTTAAAGAGGTCTTTTGCAGCAGATTTGCCCAATGCAATGTGTCTTTTGATTTCCTGACTGCTGCTTCCATGAGTGTTGATTGTGGATCCAAGTGAAATGAAATCCTTGACAACTTCAGTCTTTTCTCCATTTATCATGATGTTGCTTATTGGTCCAGTTGTGAGGATTTTTGTTTTCTTTATGTTGAGGTGTAATCCATACTGAAAGCTGTGGTCTTTGATCTTCATCAGTAAGTGCTTCAAGTCCTCTTCACTTTCAGCGAACAAGGTTGTGCTGTCTGCATAACGCAGTCTGTTAATGAGTCTTCCTCTAATCCTGATGCTCCATTCTTCTTCATACAGTCCAGCTTCTCAGATTATTTGCTCAGTATACAGATTGAATAAGTATGGTGAAAGGATACAACCCTGACGCACACCTTTCCTGACTTTAAACTGCACAGTATCCCCTTGTTCTGTTCGAACGACTGCCTCTTGATCTATGTACAGTTTCCTCATGAGCACAATTGAGTGTTCTGGAATTCCCATTCTTTGCAATGTTATCCATAATTTGTTATGATCCACACAGTCTAATGCCTTTGCACTTGTTGTATTAGGCAAGGGAAATTAGATCCTGATGCACTGTTACCCTTAAGAAGTATGTTTAAGAGATGTGAACAGAAAATGATCTTGGGTGGGACCAGGTTAAAGTACTTCTTTAGTTAAAGAGCTAAGCTTGTAATTAAATCACCTGAGTTTGGGGTAAGACATATTCCTCGAAAGGGCATTTCTTGTTCAGATCAAAAACCATTTAGGCCAAACAACAAGGCATGTCATTGCTTCACTACTTGAAGATAATCCTATTTATTTCTATTATAATATTACTGTTAATTTGGTATAGTTTCTTTTTGCCTTCTTTTTAGATGAACTAATTTAATGTCACAATTCTTGTGAGATAGGCTTTGACAAGTATTATCATAAAGAACGTTGTCGCCTAAAGAGGCCAAATTATTCACATGTATCCAAGGTCATTGTCAATGACAGAGATAGACTTGAACTCTTCATGATTGATCTCTAGATCAGCATGTCCATTCAACTCCAATGTTTATGCACAAATACTTTTTTTCAGCTAATAATTTCTGGACCTGCAAAAAGTTTTTCATAGGAGAAAACTTCATTAAGTCTTCCTGGCCTGAATATGAGTTATAAAATATGTAGCTCTTCAGCCTATCTGCAAGCAGAGACAAGTTTATGCTCATTTATTTCATCGAAAAAAAAAAAGGGGGATAACTTGCAATGCCTGTCTTTCTCTAACACATACTTGCTGCAAACTCAGTAATTAATTTTCACTTAGTCTGAGAGCTTAGTTTATTTAGGAGAGTCCAAGTTCCCTGAAACAGAGGACAGAAATTACTATTTACTCTTCCAACTGGTGAGTATGACTACTAAGGGCATGGGGCCTGGAGTCATACCACCTTAATCCAAACTCCACTACTGATCAGCTCTGTGACCTTAAAGAAATGGCATGACTTTGATATATATGTAGACAATCCTTAATCAAACCTACGTTATAGGCATGTTATATTTATCCCTGTCATAAATATTTATTAATTTTTGTCTTATCCTGTACAGATCCCTTCTTCGTACCATGAGAGATGCAAAGATGAGTATTAAGAGGAGTTTGTTTTCAAGAAGCATAAAATTAGAAAACCATAAAATAGGAAGTAACAAGTACAAAAGAGATTCATGTAAAATACCATAGAAATTCAGAGATAGAATGTATAACTTCCAGCTGAGTAAGCATTTGAGCTAGGTCTTTAATATTACTGTTAATTTGGTATACTTCCTTTTTTTCCTTTTTACATGAACTAATTTAAGTCACAATTCTTATGAGATAGGCTTGGACAAGTATTGTAAAGAATGTTGACCCCTGCAGAGACTAAATTATTCACATGTATCCAGTGTCATGTCAATGATAGAGCTAGTCTTGAACTCTTGATTCGGACAGGTGAATATGAGATTTTAATTTTCTTTTTTTTTTTTTTAAGAACAATCACTGCAAAGTGACTATTTCAAATGCAATGAAGAAGCTAGGACCTTTCTGAAGGACACTGCTGTAGCTGTTAAGAAATTGGTATTGTATTATATAATACAATTATATGTTTTTTTTTCCATCTTCCATGTATTTTGTCATCAAACTTTAATTTAGCACCAGCTCTGTTCAAGGTGAGGGTCCTTGGGTGGCACAAACAGTTTGCCCTCGGCTACTAGCCAAAAGGTTGGCAGTTCGAACCCAACCAGTGGTGCCACAGAAAAAAAGCCTGATGATTTGCTTCTATAAAGATTACAGCCAAGAAAACCCCATGGAACTCAGTTCTACTCTGTAACCCATGGGGTCACCCTGACTGAGAATTGACTGTATGGCAGTGGGTTTGGTTTTGGTTTTTTTCTGTTCAAGGTACTTAAAAAAATAGATAGGGAAAATATTTACCTTCAATTTGAAAATATTTCCTCTCAGTTTACTAAGCATTTGCATCAGTGTTGATCAACCATAGATTGTTGCTTAATTTCCATTCAGAAAACTGAATTATGGACCTGTGCCATGGATGAGGCCAAGTCCACTTAGGAGAAGTAGTACTGGTGATGACAGAGCTTGGTTAAGGGGTGGGCCACATGGGAAAATGCTTGAGACATGACTGTATAAACTTTACTTACAACAAACAATGAATAAACAAACAACCTCTGGGATAAATTGGATGCATGGTATCAGTTAACTCAGTTTTCTATAAGCAATTCCTTACATAACTGGTGAAAGTTTATTTGGCACCTAGTCCATTGAAGTAGGTAGAGCTGTTTGATAAAAACAAACAAACAAAACTCTTCCAATTGTACTCACCTGGCCCCTATAAAAGATGCACTGAAGAAATATTTAAAGAATTTCCTTCTGAAGGGTCACAGTCCTGGCTCTGTTTAGCCCTGGATAATGTTTGCAATACTTCCTCTAGAATGGTCAGAATTGTGAAGGCTTTTCATTTGATTTAAAAATATTGAATAAGAATCTACTACAGGACAAATATCTGAAAATGTAGAGATACGACACTAAAGTAAATGAGTTTGAGCCTACAAACTGATGATGAAAATTAATTTCATTATTTTATAATTTTATATATGCTATATATATGCATATACA